TCCTTTCCCTTTCCTTCCCCTCCCTCCTTCCCTCCCTCTTTCTTTCTTTCTTTCTTTCTTTCTTTCTTTCTTTCTTTCTTTCTCTCTTTTCTCTCTTTCTCTCTTTCTCTCTTTCTTTCTTTCTTTTTTTTCTTTTACTTGATTTGAGTTTATTTGAGCCAAACAGATGACACACCAGGGAAGCAAGATTTCAAATGCTCCTAGAACTTCCTTTCAGACAGATGAGAGGCATGTCCAAAGTACTTGGAATTAACTGTATAAATTGTGAACCCTGTGTTGCAGGTCCTTTTTATTCTTGATGACAGTTCTTTAAAATGAACATTCTCCATCCAGCTGGAAAATTAAAACACAGAGGTAGGAGCACGGGGAGAAGGTGGGCGGCAGGAACAGTGCAGTTCCTGAGGTAGTCAGGACAGCGGGCCGAGGTGAGAGACCTTCTCACTTTAATCTGGGAGCTTGGGCATCTCAGGCTGGCTGTGGGAAGAAGATGGAGCTGATAGCTCCTACCCCTTAGCTGCTGCTGCTGGCCTGGGCCTGGTCCTCAGACACGAGGTCCCAAAGCTGAGAGGTTCCAGGACTACATCTGTGTGTGGAAACCTGACATTTTTCTGAGTTGGGTTTTCCAAGCACATGTGGCTCCCCAGCCGCACACACAGAGAGATCCGTGTTGGCCCTGGTTTCCCCTTCCCACCTCCACCTCCCGCCCTCCCCAAAACAAACTAAACAATAACGGCTAAGAAAGTATATTTGCCAAGATCGCTTGTGACCCCAATTTCTGCCCTGAGGAGAGCACCTGCCTCATTGGAAGCAAATACGCAAGCCATTCTGGGAAGGCATGGAAACAGCTGGTTGGCTCAGTCTGTCACTGGGGCCAGGGGCCAGTCTCCAGGGCTGTGTGGAAAGAGCGTTGACTCTTCTGAAACATTTGCATTTCAGCAGCTGGGAACAGACATTTTCTCTCTTCACCGTAAGCACAGGCCCACACACCTTCATCCTCCAGTTGTGCACACAGCAGACACGTAGATTCAAGAGATGCAACGCACACACATGCATGCACACATACATGTACTCCTTCCGGCATGGACACGGGCTCAGGTGCATATACAGAGACACAGTTACACATATCCCAACACAGACAGACAAAAGCACAGACACGGCTCACCTGTTCCTCCCGAGTAATGCATCAGTATATTTGCCTGCCCTCTTCACATCTGTTTCTCCTTGTCTGAGGTCTCTTGAGCATGCCAGATCTAACAGGCTGGATCTCACCTTCGCTGTAAATCTGCCCCTCCACATCCGTTCACCCAGCTCCACAAATTCACTCACTCGTGCACTCTACCGATATTTTACAGAATATCTCCTATGTGCCAGATTCCGTCCTAGGTACTAGGGAACAAAACAGTCTTTCATCTTGTGTTGCCAACAATCTGGCAAGGGAACCAGACAATAAACAAAAAAATGTAATATATGCAGGTGGTGATAAATTCCTGGAAGAAAAGCAATGCCGGTTAAGGGAGTGGAGAGTGACAGGGGGGTGGGTCTATTTTAAATCAAATAATCAGAGAAGGACCCTGATTATGTGACCTTTGAACAGAGTCCTGAACGCAGGGAGAGATGGGCCACCAGGGTATCTCGGCAAAGGGCATTCCTGGCAGAGGGGACAGTGCATGCAAAGTCCCTGGGGCAAGGTGCTTGGCATAGTCAAGAAACAGCATGGAGGCCAAGGAGGCTGGGGTGGAGCCAACAGTGGGAGAACAGCAGGAGATGAGGGTAAACAGAGCCGGGTAAACAGAGCCAGGGGCCATTGGGTAGGGTCTGGTGAGAACTTTGGATTTGGCT